AACAAGTGTATTTCTCTGAGAATAATAAGAAAAGATTCACACATTTTTCAGTTTTCTCTCTTTTAGTTTTTCAGTTTCACATGGTATCAGAGCCTGAGACAAACGTNGGTTGTATTGACAGGACCCCAGTGCACATTTACAAAAGGAGGACTCCAAAGGCATAGAAGGAGCACACAACATGTGGGTTGCAAGTGGAAGGGCGGTTATCCACGTGGCATTGACATGTAGTAGGTGTGACGTCTAGGTATAAATGGGGAAAGATGAATTGTAAATAACAGGCAGATTTTCACACTACTAAAAGGGTAGGCATGTGGGTTATAAAGGCTTTGGCACCCTCCCTTGGCAAGCTGGTTTTCCAAAGAAAGTCCTACCCAAGCCCATGAAAGGCCCATGGCCCAGCCCAAATTGTTGAGTTATTGGAGTGGGTTCCTATCAATTGGTATCAAAGCATGATCCTACGCTTATGTGGTAGCGCATGCATGGTAGGCTGACCTTGGGCCCAGGCTGCTACCCCAAGAAAGGGCATGGAGGCCCGAGGGAAAGGGGATCTGCGTAATCACCCAAGGGGTAAAGAGGCCGATGTGGACGTCGATTGCAGAAGCATGGTGGAATGTTAGGATCCCACATTGAAAGGGAAAAAGGTGGGCATGTGGGTTATAAAGGCTTGGGCATCCTCTCTTGGCAAACCGATTTTCCAAGGAGATTTCTACCCAAGCCTATGAAAGACCCATGGTCCAGCCCAAATTGTTGAGTTACTGGAGTGGGTTTCTATCAATTGGTATCATAGCATGATCCGGGCGCACGCGTGGCAGGCTGACCTTGGGCCCAGACTGCTACCCCAAAGAAAGGGGATCCGCGAAGTCACCCAAGGGGTAAAGAGGCCGACATGGAGCCCATGCAGTAGGGGCCAATGGGCCCCTCAAGGGGTCGAGAAAGAGAGTTGCTAATAAGCTTCTAGGGCCTGACAGGCTTCTAGACAAAGTAAGACCCAAAGGGAAGGTAGTAAAGGCCAATGAAGGTGGGGTAGCCAATGAGGGCCGACGCTCTCTGGAAAGAAGATCAACGAGGGCGTTAGGTCTCGAAGCGTGGGGGAATGTTAGAATCTCATATTGAAAGGGAAAAGGATGGGCATGTGGGTTATAAAGGCTTGGGCACCCTCCCTTGGCAAGCTAGTTTTCCTAGGAGAGTTTTACCCAAGCCCATGAAAGACCCATGGCCCAGCCCAAATTGTTGAGTTATTGGAGTGGGTTCCTATCAATTGGTATCAGACCATGATCCTACACACGCGTGGCAAGCTGACCTTAGGCCCAGGTTGCTACCCCAAGGAAAGGGGATCCTCGAAGTCACCCAAGGGGTAAAGAGGTCGACATGGAAACCATACAGCAGGGCCTAGTGGGCCCTCCGAGGGGTCGAGAAAGAGAGTTGTTGACAGGCTTCTAGGGCCTGGCATGCTTCTAGGGGAAGTGAGACCCAAAGGAAGGGCAGTAAAGGCCAATGAGGACGGGCGCTCTTTGGAAAGAAGACCAACGATGGCGTTGGGTCTCGAAGCGTGGGGGAATGTTAGGATCCCACATTGAAAGGGAAAAGGGTAGGCATGTGGGTTACAAAGGCTTGAGCACCCTCCCTTGGCAAGCTGATTTTCCAAGGAGAGTTATACCTAATCCCATGAAAGACCCATGGCCCAGCCTAAATTGTTGAGTTATTAGAGTGGGTTCCTATCAATAACCAATCTTTCACTTCTCATTCTCAAACAATGTGGGATATCACAATTCACTCCCTTTCAGATCTAGCGTCTTTGTTGGCATCCTTTCTAGGCAACTCTAAATCATCTCACATTTTCGATTGGTTTATTTTGAGTTTGATACTAGTTGTTACACTTTGACCCACCCTTAAGATATTATCTGCTTTGGGCCTAGCCACGCATGGGTTTACTTTTGTGCTCTGCAACTGTCCTTCACCCAAAACACGTCTCCTTAGTTATATGAACCCAAGCCTTATAAATTGATCCTAAGGTTCATTTGCTAAGTGATGTGGGATGTGACAAACTCCCTATTGTATGGACCTCACATTTTCGATAGGTCACCATGCGGACCCAAGCTGTCAAGATAAATAACACGTCTCCATAGTTATGTGAACCCAAGGTTCATTTGCTAAGCAATGTGCGCTGTGACAAACTCCCTACTTTACGGACCTCACATTCTTTTGAGGTCATCACACTCATCCTATCATGTAGCAAGTCCACTCTGATACCTTGTCAAATTATGTGTCCAACGAAGTAGAAATTGTTCGCTTTGGGCCTAAGCCTGCATGAGTTTGCTTTTGGGCTTCATGCAAGCGTTCTAAAGCCAAAACATGTCAACTTAGTTATGCGGACCTAAGCTGTTAGGATTAGGCACTTACTACCAAGCCAAAAGCTATAGCTTGTGTCAGAGGCGCAACCCCATTTCCTTAAACCATCAGCCCCGTACTCTGGTTGAAGGCAAGAAGTGGAGGCTAGCCCACCTAACCAACAACCCCATTTTCTTTATTTTAATTTTTGTCTTTATTTGTTTGATACTCCCAATTTACTATCAAAATTATCTTTTTCATATTCTCTTTCGTTTTACTTCTCTATCAGGTCAAATTTTCAATGGAAAAATTAAAATTCACTTTTTTTTTCCTGTGTTAATATCTTCGTATGCATGTACAAAAGTTTCTATTGGCTCTTTCGAATATGAATTTCTTTGTCAATCTTAGTTTCAACACAATTCTTTGTTTTTAGTGCACTACAAAACAAGAAAAGGACTTGCAATTTTTTGATACAATATTTAGAAACTATATTTTGTAATCATTTATTTTATTAAATTTTTAGTTTACTTGCAGATTTAATACAACTTATGTGAAACTTAATGAAATTAATATTGTTGTGTTTTAATTGGTGTGTCTCATCCTTCTCTCATACAGGGACCATCTTTGGAATTTGCAGACACTTTGGAATCAAGACGGTCAACAATGAAGGAAATTATGACGACCTTGAATGATGATAATGTCAGCATAATTGGAATATATGGGATGGGAGGCGTGGGTAAGACCACGATGGCCATAGAAATCGGCAAACAAGCAATAGAGAGTAAGTTATATGATGTGGTGGTGATGGCAGTTGTGACTAAAACCCCGAGTATCTGGAAGATACAAGGAGATATTGCTCGCATGTTAGGTTTGACAAATTTCGATAACAATGACGCGTCATCTAGAGCACATTCCCTAAGGAAGAGAATCCAGGAAGAGAAACAAATCCTTGTTATTCTAGATAATGTTTGCGAACGAATTGGATTGTATAAGATTGGTATTCCTTTTGGGAGTTACCATAGAGGTTGTAAAATTATACTCACCTCAAGAAACAAAAATGTTTCTGATGAAATGAAGTGTCAAAAGACATTTCATGTTGAAAGTTTACCAAATCAAGAATCCTGGGCCCTGTTCAAGAGCAATGTTGGCGTGGATGTTGAACATTCTGATATAAACATTATTGCTAAAGAGATAGTTGCTGAATGTAATGGCTGGCCAATTGCGATTGTGACTTTAGCAAAAGATTGATAGAACAAGAACAAGCATGAGTGGAGCACTGCAGCAGAACAACTTAAATTTCTTCCACAAAAAATTGAAGGATTAAGTAACATAATTACAGCTCTGGAGCTAAGCTACAACTATCTAGAAAGTGAGGAAGCGAAATCAGTGTCTTATTCTGCAGCTTATTCCCAGAGGATTTCCAAATTCCTGTTGAGATTTAGCTTGTATGGGATGGGTCTAAGGTGGTTCAAAGACATTAAGACAATAACAGATGTCAAAGTCAGAACACGTGGTGTAGTAAGTATCCTCACTTCATCTTTTCATTAATCATTGATGATGAATGTGGTAAAGAGAGTGTCAAAATGCATGATGTAGTTCGTGAATGTGCATTAACAATAGCACCTAAAATCAACCAGACATTCATGGTGAAAGATGGCAATAGACTAAGCGAATGGCCTAGTAGAGCCACATATAATGATCTTACAAGTATCTCATTGATGTCGCATGATATTCAAGAGGTACCTGATGAGTTGGAATGTCCAAAGTTGCAAGCCCTATTTTTGCAACAAAACTTAAATTGGTAGTCCCTGTCAATTTCTTAAGGAATGGAAGATCTTAAAGTTCTAGACTTGAGTGGAACCTCAATCTTTTTGCTACCTAAGTCACTTTCTTTACTTGTAAATCTTAGAACATTATATTTTAGTTTTGCAAGCTGGGTGATTTATCTGTATTAGGAGAGCTAAGTAACCTAGAGATTCTTAGCTTTTTGGTTCTAACATTGAAGTGATTCCTACATCCTTTAGCCAATTATGTAATCTAAGGTTGTTAGATTTGAGTGAGTGCACAGAGCTAATCAGATATCACGTGGAGTCCTAGATTGTCTTTGTAGGGTGGAGGAGTTGTACATGATACAAAGTTTGAGGCAAGAATTTTCAAGGTTCCGAAGGAGTTTTTTCGAAATTTAATGAGTTAAAGGGATTGTCTCGTTTAACTAGCTGAAGATTGTGTCCCAGATCCCAATATCTTGCCTAAGGATGTCATGTTGTTCCAAAACTTATCCAACTTTACCTTAGAAATGGTCTTCAAAATGAATACTGGGACACCAAAGATACTCAAGATATGATGCTCCGCAGATAATGATTGAGAAGAAATTGATTGGGTTAAGAATTTGCTGAAGAAAGAAGTGGAATATATTTTTAGTGAAATCCCCAATTTTGAGAATGTGCTCCATGACCTAGGAAAAGAAGGTATCAATGAATTTAAGTCTCTAATTATCAAACTTGTGACATAGCAAGTCTACAAATACATTAGAACCAGCAAGAAACTAACTTCCACAATTTGGAGGAATTGTATATCAATAGAAATCCCAGCTTGATCGAAATTTGTCATGGTCAGCCCCCAATGGAGTCCTTCGTAAATTGAAAGTTTTAGAGTTGAAGTGGTGCAATGCGATGGTAAAGTTTTACCAGCCATGTGAACAGAGGTTTGCAAATCTTGAAACTTTAAAGGTATCTACTTGTAAATCAATTGAGTATGTATTTGATTTTCAAGTGCTTGAAAATGCAAGTGAAGAAACCAAGTTGTTCTCGTCATTGAAGGATTTAGAATTGATTATGCTTCCTAAGATGACCAGTATATGGAAGGGTGGCAGTCAGTTTCTAAACTTTGATAACTTGAAGAGAATAAACTTGGAACATTGTCTCAAGCTAGTGAGATTATTTTCACCAGATCTTCTACAAAGCCTAGGTTGTTTGGGAAAAATGGAGATAAGTTATTGCAGTAACTTGGAGGAGATCTTTGAGATGAAAGATACATCCATGGCTTCCCCAACTTTAGGAAATCTAACTTACATGAGCGTAAGTTACTGTAACAAACTGAAAAACCTCTTCAGCCCATCCATTGTCAATAGCTTGGTGAAGCTCAAAACACTTAAACTATCGCATTGCTCAACAATAGAATACATAGTCACAAACGAAGATGGAGAAAAAGGAGCATTAACAGAGAAGATCATGTTTCCTAGTTTGTACGACATGGAACTTGAAGATATGGAAAGCCTCACTTGTTTCTACAGTGGAGTCATTGCTATTGAATTCTCGGCTTTAAAGAGATTAATGATTTGTCAATGTCCGAAAATGAAGACCTTTGGTTACGGAAACCAAGTGACACCCAAGCTCAACAAAGTGTATTTGAGGAATGTTAGATGCAGAATCTTAGCACCAATGGACCGGTATGTGAACTAATGCTTAAAAGTTAGCATCTCTTTTAGTTTGTTAATTGCTTACAAAGATCATTTACTTTCTCTTTCTTACACTGCCTGGTTCATAAAATATTGTTTTCTTTTCTAAATTTTTTAATTATCATTTTCTTAAAAGGTAACACTATTAAAAAATGGTGAAACCATTTTATTTCATTAATAGCTTGTTATAACATATGATATGAATGAAATGCTACATTATTCACAACTTCTCTGTTTTGTCTCTGGTTGCTTTTATCTTTCCCTGTCTCTGTTTTCTTTATTTTAATTCCCTTGCTTATTCCTTTATTTCTCAAACTAAGAATTTTGGTGAATGTGTATATATGTTGAATACTGGTTGCTTAAGAACTTGTGTTTAGGTAATTGAATTTATAGCGTTATAATAAACTTTTTGTCTTTAGTTATATATTTATGTTATCTTGAATTTGAACTTTTGTGACAGAACCAATATCATCCTTAAATTATATTTATGGTATCTATTTGAATGCTAAAACCAATATTATCTTTTATAGAGCTGCTGAAGCTATTTATGAATTCAAGTACGTGATCCTTGGCGGTGGTGTCTCTGCTGGATATGCAGCAAGGGAGTTTGTTAAGCAAGGTGTTAAGCAAGGAGAGCTTGCAATTATCTCAAAAGAAGCAGTGGCTCCATATGAACGCCCCACACTTAGCAAGGAATATCTTCTCCGTGAGAAACCTGCTAGACTTCCAGATTTCTATGTGTGTGTTGGAAGTGGAGGAGAGAGACTGCTTCTGGACTGGTACACAGAGAAAGGAATAGAATTGATCCTTAGCACAGGAATTGTTCAAGTAAATCTTGTTTACAAGGCTCTTGTTAGTGCATATGGCCAAGTTTTCCGGTATCAAACATTGATAATTGCAACTGGTTCCACACCACTAAGGTTGACAGATTTGGGTGTACAAGGAACTGATGCGAAAAATATCTTCTACTTAAAAGAAATTAATGATGCTGATGAATTGGTTAAAGCGGTTAAAGCAAAGAAGAATAGGAAGGCTGTGATTGTTGGAGGAGGATATATCGGTCTTGAGGTTAGTGCAGCTTTGCGAATCAACAATTTGGATGTTACTATGGTTTATCCTGAACAATGGTGCATGCCTCGACTCTTCACTGCTGGTATTGGTACTTTCTATGAGGGTTATTATGCCAATAAAGGAATCAAAATTATTAAAGGAACAGTTGCTGCTCGATTCACAATTGACTCTAATGGAGACGTCAAAGAAGTGACACTAAAGGATGGCAGGGTACTAGAAGCCGACATTGTTTTTGTTGATGCAGGAGCTAGACCTCTCACATCATTATTCGGAGGGCAGGTTGAAGAGGAGAAGGGTGGAATAAAGACTGATGCATTTTTCCGGACAAGTGTTCCTAATGTTTATGCTGTGGGAGATGTTGCTACTTTCCCTTTGAAATTGTGCAATGAGATGAGAAGAGTTGAGCATGTTGAGCATGCCTACAAATCAGCTGAGCAGGCTGTGAAGGCCATCAAGGCAAGTGAGGAAGGCAAAACAATTGAGGAGTATGACTACCTCCCTTACTTTTTTTCTCGTTCTTTTGATCTCTCATGGAAGTTCTATGGTAGCAATGTTGGAAAGAGATTACTGGTTAGAGACAATGGTCCTGGATCAGAAAAGCATAAGTTTGGAACGTTTTGGATCGAAAAGGGCAAGATTGTTGGAGCTTTCCTTATGAATGGGACTTCTCGAGAAAATGAGGCCATTGCCAATGTTGCTAGAGGCCAGCCTCCAGTTGATTATTTGGATGTGCTGAAGAAGGAGCTGGGTTTTCCCTCTAAAGAAAAAGATAGGTGAGAAATATAAATATAATTAAAGGCTGATATACAAATTTGGAAAAGTTAGTATTACTCAAATCCAATATAAATATTTAAAAAAAAAATGGTCTCAACATGGAAGCCAGTTTTTTATGTCAATCAATCTCCACAGTGAAACACAGTATTGTATTGTTACCTTAAAAGAAAATTGGGAATACTTGACATTTTGTTTCTGTCTTCCCTTTTATAAAGCATGAAAAGTTGTATCATATTATAGAATAAGAAAAAAAAAAATCTAGAAACATAAAACGTTTGACAAAAGTACTCTTGGTGGAACAGTCCTACCATATTTTTTGAACTTTCATTTAATAAAATTTCATCAAATATATATATAAATTTTCATCACATTATCACATTATCCATATGCCATCTGTTAAAATTCTGCAATAAGTGCATCGATTTTGTTTTTGCTCTATTGTGATAGGTTTATTTTCTCAATAAATGCATATGTGTGATTAGATTCTGTCGGATTTTATGTTAGTGTTGCAAAAACCTGTTAAAAATTTTATAGAATTTAAAAAGCTTCAAAAGCAATCCAGAGTTCAAAAAGTTTGATCATGAGGATCAGTAAATAATGCCTTAAAAAAAGGTAGCTGTTGTTACATTAAAATTCATTTGTGGTTTTTACCATGTAATTTAAAAAGTGAAGTTGTGTAGGGAAGTTTGTAACTCAAATTTTGTATGGCAGATGATTTAATGTGTTAGTTTTATGTATCATTACTTTTGTTAATATTAAAAGTTTCCTTTTAATATTAATCATCTTGCTTGTTCCTTTGTTTCTTGAGTTGACCACTTTGGTCAATGAATAAATATGTAAAATATTGGTATCTTAGTAACTTTATTATAAATGACATTTTGCTTAGTTATATATTTATGTTATCTTGAACTTGAACTTTTGCGATTAAGAAATTTCAAATATTTGAATGCTAATTCGAATATCATCTTTCGTAGAGCTGCCAGGGCTGATTATGAATTCACGTATGTGATCCTTGGTGGTGGCGTGGCTGCTGGATATGCAGCTAGGGAATTTGTTAAGCAAGGTATTAAGCGAGGAGAGTTGGCAATTATCTCGAAAGAAGACGTGGCTCCATATGAACGTCCCACGCTTAGCAAGGAATATCTTCTCCCAGAGACACATGCTAGACTTCCATATTTCCATGTGTGTGTTGGAAGTGGAGGAGAAAGACAATTTCCTGAGTGGTACACAGACAAAGGAATAAAATTGATCCTTAGCACAGAAATTGTTGAAGTGGAGCTTAATTCCAGGGATCTTGTTAGTGCATCTGGTGATGTCTTCAGATATCAAACATTGATAATAGCAACTGGTTCCACCCCGGTAAGGTTGACAGATTTTGGTGTGCAAGGAGCTGATGCGAAAAATATCTTCTACTTGGGAGAAATTGATGATGCTGATAAGTTGGTTGAAGCAATTCAGGAAAAGAAAAATGGGAAGGCTGTGATAATTACAAGAAATTATTTTGGTCTTGAGGTTAGTAAAGCTTTTCAAAAGAACAATTTTGACGTCAGCATGGTTTTTCCTGAAGACTGGTTTATTAGTCAGTGGTTCAATTCTGTAATTGCTGCTTCCTATCATTCTTATTATAAATCCAAAGGAATCAAAATTTTTAAAAGCACTCGTGCAGTTGGGTTTAACGCTAACTCTAGTGAAGAGGTCAAGGAAGTGAAGTTAAATGATGGCACTGTGCTGGAAGCTGACATTGTGATTGTTGATATAGGAATTAAAGCTATTACATCATTACTTCTGGGTCAGTTTGAACAGGAGTTGGGAGGAATAAAGACTGATGCATTTTTCAGGACAAGTGTTCCTGATGTTTATGCTGTGGGAGATGTGGCTACTTTCCCTTCGAAATTGTACGGTAATGAGAATATTTTATGGGTTCCAGTAGTTGACCATGCTCGCAAATCAGCCGAGCAGGCTGTGAAAGCCATCAAGGCAAGTGAGGAAGGCAAGGCAATTGATGAATATGACTACCTACCTCACGCATATTCTCGTTCCTTTGATCTTTCATGGAATTTCTATGGTATACGATCTGGTGGCGAGCAGGTGATATTTGGAGAAATGGATCATGTATCACCACTGCATAAGTTTGGAGCATACTGGATCATAAACGGGAAGGTTTGGGGAACTTTCCTGCAGAATGGGACTCCAGAAGAAAACGAGGCCATGGCCAAAGTTGCTAGGGGCCAGCCTCGAGTTTATAATTTGAATGTACTGAAGGAGCAGGGTCTTTCCTTTGCCACAAACTTTTGAGAATTCAAAACGGTAATATCCATATCTATATCTAGGTTGCTTGTCGATTCCGGTTTAGCTAACTTACAATGAATCTATATTTGCCTATAATTTTTTGTTGCTTCACTACAAAAAAAAATAAAAAAAAATTACATTTCCTACCAACAATTTACTAGGGCCCCTAGAAAAAAGGTATATTACAATTGATTTATCAAAAAATATATCAAACTGCCCTGGGAAATTGGTTACATTTTATATTAATTTAAAATGTGAGGGACTGTGATTATTCTGATGGGACCGACGAATCTAAATGATTTGATCATAAGAGGACTTAATAGATATTATCCAGTTATATAAGTTCATTAATCAAAAAGTCACAACGACATCGTTTTAAGGTCTGATTTCATAAAATCTTACTATTTTATTTCTCTCAAATTTATTTTTATTTGCTCGCCCCAGTTTCCTTGTTTACATACAAGAGAGACGCGCAAGCCAATGGCGAAGCCATCATCAACGACACGTGCTCGTGGAGTCGCCGTCGCAGCAGGTTGCAGTAGTTGACGGGGAACTAGGCTAGCAGCGCGACGACACCGTGAGCAGCTAATTTCTTTCTTGTTTCTTACATACATTTCCCAAAATAATGTTTATGGAAATAGAAAGGTTGATTGAGTTTAGGTAGTGGGTATTATTATTTTCATTGGAAGAAGGCTGACATCCAACAATGGATTTAGAGCTAAATGCGTGGCCCTTCCCATTTCCTGATGCAAAAGCCATCTATCTTTAGCCCCCTTTGTTTCTCATACCTTCAATTATCCCCCTTAAACGCAATTTCTTAATTAAATTTACTTATTTCGGTCTCCGTCATTCATTAAATATTACAATTTGATTTTTAAAACATGATTTCCTGGTTTCGTCACTGATATCACATGATTTTAAAACAATTAATCAAAATGGATAAATGCATATCTTGCACATCTTACTCAATATATGTTATTCCTTGGTGTTTTCTTTGCTTTGTGCTGCAGACTTTTTTCTTTTTTGTAACTTGATAGATTTATTCTTGCTTTTAAGCTTTATTAAACAGATTAATTTTCATTTTTCTTCGCTATTTCAATTGCCTTATTCACTTGTCTTTGCTACTTTAATTGCTTTATGCTTCACTTTTCTCTTTCTTGAAGTCCTCCATTTTCTCTATCCTTATACTGGAGAAACACACCTTTTATCAAAGTCTTATATTTTCAACACAATTCAAGGATAATTCTAACATTAAAATAAAAATAATTAAAACCAATAGTCAATGTCGAAGTTCGAACTCAATTGGACCCTAATATCTAAACTTTACATTGGGTGTACAAGTTTAATTTATTAATGAGAAAAAAAAAAAAAAATTGGAAACTTTATCTTCTATACTAAAGAATTGTAATAATAATTTCCCACCAGTAAAAGAAACAATGAAAAAGTTATAAGTTAACCAAAAATTTAGAGGCTTTCCAAGGATGACCCTTAATCCATCTTTTTTTATACCCTTTCCCTTATAGTTATAACTACCTCCACTTTAATTTTACAATACCATCACTTTACATATCAATTTCTCTTCAAACTTGTCTCCTTAATAGTTAATGAAAGTTTTAATCACTTTATCAAGTGTATTAAACCTAAGCGGAAAGGATTGTGAAGTTGATTTTAATGTTCATTTATCATAAACATAAAACAATCAAATATAAATCAAAATAAAGAAGACCACGTTTTTACATAGTTCGACAAAATACTTACATCCATGAGATCAAGTCCAAAATGAAGCTAATCCACTATAGTATACTTTTCAGTTTAATTACAAAGTCCAAGATTAAGCCTTAGTTGCAAGAACACTCCTTGTTTTGCAATGCTTCAATCTACGCTTTGGTCAAACTACGTACTACCACAGCTAGCTCCAATTACACGAAACCACCTGGTCAGCCTTGAGCTCCTCTCAAGGTATAGTAACAAAGATCCACTTCGGTTGAACCAACTTAGCAAGCTTCAAGCATCAACTACGTAACCAACGTAGAAAAAAAAGGACAAATTCTAATAACTTTGACGAAGGTATTTGTAAGCCTACCTAAGCATAGAAACCTGATAAAAACAAATGAAACTTTTAGAAATATTTAGAGTACTTTCAAGGAAATAATCAGGCTTGAAAACAAATTGCATTGGAGAAGAGTTTATATAATTAGAAAAACGGGTCAATGCAAATGGGCAGGTGGCTAACAAGAAAACTTTATTGTTTTAACTTTATGAAAAGTTTATTCCATTTCTCTTGGGACCACCGACCATTGTGAACAAACTTCAGCTCATTGTGTAACAAATTGACAAGTGTTATGGACCACAAACAATATCTCATAAAGAGAATAAAGATAGCTCACATGAATATTGAAATGCAATACGTGATTAAACAAAATATCTGTCAGATGCATGTAACCACTCTGACTATGAGATGCTCACATGATATAATAGAAAAATAACTTAATTGAAGGTGGTTACTTTGACAGAAGGTCGTCACTAAAGGTGGAACAAATGGGCCGGGTTAGGCGGGTCAACCCTAACCTGACCCGCAATGAAGCGGGTTATTGGCGGTCCGGGTTGAACCCAACCCGGCAGCAACCCTCGGGCGGGCCGGGTTGCAAAATGGCAACCCGTAACCCGGTGGGTTGCTGTTTTGTCTCTTTTAAAAGAGACTCGCCAACCCGCCGGTTTGGCTGTTATAAAATAACGGTCAACCCGCCAGGTTGACTCGCGGGTTGGCAACAGCCAACCCGGTGAGTTGGTTGAAAAAAATAAAAAAAAAAAATTTATTTTTTCAAATTACCCCTTTACTCTTGAAATATAACCGTCTTATAGCCGTTGGAGGGTTCTTTTTCGTCATTTTTCTTTCCCTTTTTTTTTCTATAAATTGGCCCTAAACTCTCACATTTTTCTCACAACTCAAATTCTCTCATTCTCTCTATTCTCTAATCTCTAATCTCTCAATTATTCATTTATTCTCTTAATCTCTTTGTTATCAATTTGCTCGTATTTTAATTTTTATTAGTTTTTTCAATTTTTAATTCATATTTCCAATTTTCCAAATTCTAATTTCCATATTCCAATTCTCTTTCTTTAATTTTTATTTATTCTACATCAATTTTTTTTTTTCAACTACAATGGATAGATATTTCTCTCCCATCAATTACAATGATGAAGGAAACTACTATCCTAGTCCTAGTCCTGCTGATTTTACTAACATAAATGTAGGAGGAGATTCAAATAGTCTCGCTTTCCCATTCTCAAAATCCGATACACCTCAAAATATGCCCCCGATTCCAACAACTCCCGGTGGTTCTAGAAGTCGTCCTCGTAATCGTCGTGCTCGTCCAACTTCATCTCAAGCTGAGGCGGGATCATCAACTAACATCAAAAAAGAAAACAAACACAAATCAAAAATTTGGGAGCATTTCGACAAGTTTTACGAGACAGAAAATGGCGTTCAAGTCAAGAAAGCGAGATGCAAATACTGTGGAAATATTTATAAAGCTAAATCAGGTAATGGTACTAGCACTTTAAAAAGGTATGCTAATAAACATATTAATCAACATGGAAATAGAGAAAGCAATCAAACTCAAATAATTAATATGGGTACTAATTGGTGTCATAATTCTGATGTATATAGGAAACAGTTAGCTTTATATATTGCTGCAACTGATCAACCTATTAATATGGCTAAAGATAAATATTTTGAAAGATTTGTTCAAAATTCATTTTTTCCAAGATTTAAAAGTTATTCTAAAACTGCAACTAGAAATGATCTAATAAAATTGTTTAGAAAAATGAAATTAGAATTAAAAAATAAAATACATACTTGTAATGTTAGTGTGGCTCTAACTGCCGATATTTGGAGTGGTAGAGCTAAACAAGATTATATTTGTGTGACTAATCATTATTTTGATAATAAATGTAAATTAAATAAATATTTATTAGGATTTAGATTAATGGATGTTGATCATAGTGGTGAACAAATTTATAATAAAATTGTTGAAGTTTTAGAAGATTATGATATTGTTAGTAAAGTGATAAGTTTAACTTTAGATAATGCAAGTTCTAATAGTAAAGCTATAGATTATTTTCAAAGTAATTATCCTTTATATAACAATTTGAAGTTTTTTCACTAACGTTGTGCATGCCATGTTATTAATTTAATTGTGAAAAGTGGTATGAAAACAATTAAAGAAAATATTAATATAATTAGAGATTGTTTAGCTTGGATTACTAGTAGTAATAAAAGAAATGCTGAATTTTAAGACGCTTGTATAAAATCAAATATGTCTCCTAGAACTTTTGCATTAGACATGCCTATTAGATAGAATAGTACTTATTTAATGCTTGATTCATCTTTACCTTATGCTAATATTTTTAGTTATTTTGTAGTAAATAATAGAGGTCCTCATTATTTGGTAGAAAATGATTGGCAAATAGCTAAAGTATTTCATTCTTTTCTTAAAAATTTTTACCAATCCACTTTACAACTTTCTGGTGTGTATTATCCTACTAATCTATTGGTAATACATACAATTATAAAAATTTCCGAGTTATTTATAAAAAACAAAGACAATGTAATTTTAAATGGAAAAAAATATTTTAAAATATTGGAAACCCATTCCTTTTCTTTATTGTTTAGGTGCTATATTTGATCCTAGAATTATATTAGCAGGTTTAGAAAATGGTTTTAACAATTTATGTGAAAATTTACAAACCGAAGTATATTTCCAATATGAAAACAGGTATGGAAACCCGCAAAGAGGCGAAACATCCAAGGAAGCTGCATCATAAGAAACAAATGAAGACTTCTACTCTTGGGGTGCACTGAATAGGCCGAAGAGGACCCGAATCCGAAGCACAGCCTCCTCTTCAGAAGCTCCACCAACAACAACAACTAATATACTGTCTTCCATGCAGTCACAGAGTAATGAGCTTCAACAATATTTGGCAACCCTTGAAATGTTACCAGT